GCAACACAACCCCAAAGCATGATTGATCCAACCCCATGCTTTACAGTTGGACAGAGGTTCTTTTCATTCAATTCTGTGCCCCTTCTTCTCCAAACGTACCTTTGCTCATTCCGGCCAAAAAGTTCAATTTTAACCTCATCGGTCCACAGAACTTGTTTCCAAAATGCATCAGGCTTGTCTATATGTTCATTTGCAAAGTTCAAACGATGATTTTTGTGGTGAGGACGTAGAAGAGGTTTTCTTCTGATGACTCTTCCATGAAGACCATATTTGTACAAGTATCTCTTTATAGTGGAATAGTGTACCACAACTCCAGTGTCTGTCAGATCTTTCTGGAGGGATCGTGAAGTCAAACGTGGGTTTTGAATCGTTTTTCTCACAATCCTGCGAGCTGTTCTGTCTGATATTTTTCTTGGTCTTCCAGATCTTGCTTTAACTTCCACTGTTCCTGATGACTGCCATTTCTTAATTACATTCCGAACAGAGGATATTGACATCTGAAAACGCTTTGCTATCTTCTTATAGGCTTTTCCAGCTTTGTGAGCATCAACTATTTTCAGTTTCAGTTTTCTAGACAACTGCTTAGAAGAACCCATGGTGCTGATTGTTGGGGCAAGCTCAAATGAGTCTGGGCATTTAAAACCTTTGAGATTGACAACATCTGGTCTTCCCAGGTGATGATTGAGAACAATCCATGACACTGGCAGGTCTCAGCTTTGCAAAGGGGGCAGTGCATGCTATAAATTTTGCAGGGTGCCCAAACTTTTGCAGACACCATTTTTTTGTTTTCTGTTATTTTGAAAGTGTAAATGATGGAAATAAAATCTAACTTTTGTTGACATATTATAAGAATGTCTAATCTGTAATTTGATGCCTTTTGGAGATTTTTCCATCTTTCCTTGGCTTCTTTATGCACATTAATACAAATTTTTAGCTGGGGCGCCCAAACTTTCGATCCCCACTGTATATATATATATATATATATATACACACACACACACACACACACACACACACACACACACATATATACACACACACACACACAATATATTGCCAAAAGTATTGGGATACCCCTCCAAATCACTGGATTCAGGTGTTCTAATCGCCTCCTTGGCCACAGGTGTATAAAATCAAGCACCTAGGCATGCACACTGCTTCTACAAACATTTGTGAAAGAATGGGTCGCTCTCAGGAGCTCAGTGAATCCAAGCGTGGTACTGTGATAGACCTATTGCACAGGTGGCAACCTATCTGCCAAAATTTTCTTGCTACTAAATATTCCATGGTCAACTTGTTAGTGGTATTATAACAAAGCGGAAGCAACTAGGAACAACAGCAACTCAGCAACAAAGTGGCAGGCCACGTAAAATGACAGAGCGGGTCAGCGCATGCTGAAGCACACAGTACGCAGAAGTCGCCAACTGTCTGCAGAGTCAATAGCTAAAGACCTCTGTCAGGGAAAGAGATGAGGAAGCCCTGGCCAATCCCCAATTTGGCCGCACTAATTCATGAAAAAATGTGCACATCCACATAGGTTCACGGTACGTAATCACGCATCCATGTGCGCGAAAGCGCACAGACACACGCAAGGTGCGATAATTGCTGGCACTCAGTGGCCTTTATAAGGACTGCAGCTCCTCACAATAATCGCTGGATTATCGTCAGCCTCCTGTTCTTGTGTTCCTGTGTGTATTCACCTGATTATCTGTTACTGACCCGGCTTGACCCTGACCTGCTTTGGCTCCTCTCCTGGCTCTCTACATCGGCTTGTCCCTTGGATCTGCTCCTGCTTACTTCTGATCGATTACCAGTGTATGATCCTGGCTTGATCCTGACCTCGCTCCTGCATTTTCTCCTGATTGATATTCTGTGTTTGATCCTGGCTCTGGCTTCACTTCCTGCTTTGCCCATCCACCTGGATCTGCCAGTCCCCTGGACGACCCCCTCCTTTATCTGGTCCACCCACGGTTATCGTCTCATTGGGCATCACCAGGCACCCATACCATTGGCAACCCATGCTTCCTTAGGCATTGCACCTTGTTACCACCTTAAGGGGTGCATTGCCGTAAGGGAGCCCTCTCTTCACATCAGCCTCTGGTCAGGTAAGTGACAAACGCCAAAATTTGTGTGGCCTTCAGATTACCACAACAACAGTGCATAGAGAGCTTCATGGAATGGGTTTCCATGGTCGAACAGCTACATCCAAGCCTCCATCATCAAGTGCAATGCAAAGCGTCAGATGCAGTGGTATAAAAGCACACCCCCACCAGACTCTAGAGCAGTGGAGATGTGTTCTCTGGAGTGACCAATAACACTTCCTTGTCTGGAAATCCAATGGATGTGTCTGGGTTTGGTGGTTGCCAGGAGAACAGTACTTACCTGACTGCATTGTGCGAAGAGTAAAGTTTGGTGGAGGGGGGGGGGGGGGGGGGATTATGGTGTGAGGTTGTTTCTCAGGGGTTGGGCTTGGCCCCTTAGTTCCGGTGAAGGGAATTCTAATGCGTCAGCATACCAAGACATTTTGGACAATTTCATGCTCCCAACTTTGTGGGAACAGTTTGGGATGGCCCCTTCCTGTTCCAACATGACTGCGCACCAGTGCACCCTCCTAGTCAGATGCTAAAGTGTATAGTTAGATTAAGCATAACTGTGTCTCTCTGCTTACCAGAGAGGCTGTCATGTAAATTCAGTGTGGTATTATGCTTAGAGTGCTGTGATTGATTAAGTCTGCTTATGCTGCTCTGGTGCAGTCACAGTTTGTCTGACTTCTGCCTGCCTTCAGGAAGCTATGAGAGCCTTCTAGAACATGGGTAAGGGCTAGGCAAATAAACAGCATGAATATGGATACAGCCCTAGCCAATTGCAGGGGAAAGCAGTACCATTGAATGCTGGGAGTGTTATTTATATTCTGAGAGCACATGGGTTCAGGGTCTTTCCCGGGGGTGGAAGAGAGTGACCTGGTTCTTCAGTAAACTGAATGAGGGGAGCGGTCTGCCAAAGATCTGTCTGGTATCTCTTGAGAGAGTCGCTTGGAAGGAGGCAACCATTCTGTCCTTGGACTTGTGAGTACAGGCTCAGAGAGATCTTGGGTACTCCGTGTGCTTGCTACTTCCCCTCGTGCTTGATAGTCAACGTGCGTCAGGAAAAAAAAGGGAACACTCGCTAGTGTTCTGAGAGCTTTGTCCAAGTGTTGCTACTGCAAAGGACTTTGCTCAGCTATGTTACCTTTAGGCTGTCGCAGTCCGTTGTACCTGGCTTATACTTCAGGAGTTCAGCCCTATAACTATACTACTGCAAAACGGACTTTGCTCACTTTCAAAACTACCTGCTGCTATATGTTACAAGAGAAGTCTGCTATCTATTGTCAGCCAAGACTTCATAAGTGTTCAACTAAGATCAGCTAGATGTCCTCACCGTGAATAGTTCTTATTTTGGAGTATCCTACTACAATTCCCCATCCCTATCACCAGATCTACAATAAAGTCCAAAAACAAGACATCCCCTACACTGGTCATTGAAGACAACGAGTGGAAGTGTGTGTGAGTGTATTTGGCTGAAGAAATACACTGTGCCTGGCTGCGAGGCGAGTAAGGGGGAGCCCATGGAAAACCTACAAGTGGCTTCTTCGGGGGTAGCGCCACAAACACACACACACACACATTATATATATATATATATATATATATATATATATATATATATATATATATATCCCGGAGGGGTGGCAACAGAAAACTACAGTTGAAGCACAGGGAGGTTAAACGGACAATTGAGCTGGATACTATATACTATATAGCCTGAAGAGTTAAAGGCTGACTTGGTTTAACCCCTATTTTTTGTGAATTTTATCAGTAGTTTTGTGAGTGGTTCTAAACTGTTGTACATATTACATGGATTTATCACACAAAGATTTTGCAAGGCATTAAATAAATAACTTGTGCTGCTGCAGAACTATTATGGTGGTCTATTCTCTATATATTAGAGAAGAGGGATGCATGAGCTCCTCATAACTGGATTGGAGTAGGTGATAGCTGCCTGCATTCTACACTATACAAATTTGATGTCCATGTAGGAGTAGCACCACCTTTCTTGGCGACTGGTGTGGAGACAGGTGCCATTGGTTGATTATCATATTCACAGGGGGAATCTTACCATATACATACTATAGAGATGGGCTCCAGAGACTTTTCAATAGCCACATCATCAACACAAACCTTGAAGGAATGGGAGAGGCGGTGGCATAAACAAGTTTCCTTGAAGTTGCATGAGCTCACATTATCAGAATACTGTTAATACCAACTGATTCTTTGTGGACTACAGATGGGATTAAAGTATAACTAAAGGCAAAACTTTTTTTTTTTTTTTTTGATAGAGTGGGATTAGAACCCCTAATAGGTTTTATTGCTGTGTCCCCAGAAAGTACTAGAGAGGAAATATTCTGATGGGGACACTGGTTCTGGTGACCTGTGGGTCCCCAATATTTCCTTAATTTGCAGGGATTTCCTCTCACTTCCTGTTTGGCTATGGGACAGGAAGTGAAGGGAAATCTCCGCAATAGAACACAGATGGAAACTTGGGGGAACACAGTTCTGGTCCCTTCAGCACTGAATGCATGTAATGGCACGGGTGCTGTGGTGTGCTGGAAGATCTATTGTTGCTGGCAGCTGAGGGAGCTATTGTAACTAGAGGGGATCTACTTTTGCTTGGCATTCTATTGTTTCTGGGGAGCTCTATTATTGCTGGTGGGAGCTCTATTGTAGCTGGTGAGTCAATTGCTGTTGGCAGTGATCTACTTTTGAGGGGGTCTATTGTTTTTAGCTGCTGGGAGATCTGTTGCTGCTGCTTGGGAGTCTATTGTTGTTGGGGTTGTATTTTGTTGCAGGGGTCCATTGTTGTTGGGAGTCTATTTTACTGCTTTTCTTGTTATCATTAACAAAATTCCATACAAATTACTTAGCACTACAAAATGATACTTGGTTCTGTATTATCTATAAGGAGCGGTACTGGGAGGCGGGTAAGGGATGGACGCAATGAACTGTGCTAGGAGGTGGTTAGGTGGCAGATATAAGAACTGATTCAGAAGGGGATAGTTCTTGCACCTATTCTCTGAGAAAAAAAGCCCTGCTTATAATCCTTCCTTACTCTGCAAAATAAAAGAAAACAGTTTTGCCTTTAGTTCTACTTTAACCTCAACACTTTTTTTCTAAGCATTGCAAGCACAGATTACTATAGCCTGCAGGATACATTGAAAACACTTCTGACCACTGAAGAATTAACCAAGGATCTAACAAGATGTGCATGGCTAAGAAGTTTCTACTGGAGCTTAATGGGCAGTGATCTGATTTCCTCCTATTCCTGGGACTTGGGATACTACCGCTTGACCCCCGGATGCCTCACCGATCCTCAACACCAGAGGGAGGGAAGAAGCCCAGTTTCCCTCTGCTGGTGGAGGTAGACCCCTGGGCCCTGCTGACATGGCGGAGCGCCCCAGAGCGTTCTCCAATATGGCATCTCAAACTAATTCAGAAGGGCACGCCAACCTTCCATCCAGGGCCTGCCAGATGTCATGGCTGCCATTGCCGCTTGTCAGGCGGCTCTGACCTCCAAGATAGAAGTGGTACAACTAGATGTAGATCTGCTCCATCAGGACATTGACAAAATACGCTCTCGAGTGTCTGCAGGGGAACAGCATATGTGCCAGGCAGGGGACTTGATCACTGAACACACCACATCCATTCGGTCTGAATAATCTCCATATTGTTGGGCTGGCTGAGGGGGCAGAGGGTAGGAATCCGACGGTATTCGCTGAGGAATTACTGCGCTCTCCTACCAGTGGCCTAATTCTCTTTCTTTACAGCGAAGGTGGCGCAACGCATACCGCCCAAATCGGGGCCTCCTTGATCCCCCCCCCCCCCCCTGCACCATCTTGCGGCTGCTTAACTTCAGAGATCGGGATGAAGTCCTTAGAGAGCACAATCTCTATCAAAACGGGAGACTCTTCATCTTTCCTGACTACACAGTGGAAACGTAAAAGATGCGGAAGTCCTTCGACCATGTAAAAGCTACCTTGAGAGCTTGTGGCATCCGCTATAGTGTTCTCTTCCTGTCTCGTCCGAGGATCCAAGATAGGGAATCTGTCCGTTTCTTCATCTCTCCCTATGAGGCAGCCACCTAGGTGGAATCTCTCCTTCCCCATCACTGATTGGTGGATCTGTGAGTCTTACCAACACAAAAGGGAATCCTATTGCGATGTGTGCTCAAGACTCTTTGTCTACTTGGAGGGGGTGCTTCACCCCAGGGCCCTGACTGTTTGTGCCTAGACTTGCACTGTTCCTTTTTTGATGTAATGTTCAAGTTTGCGCTCCTGTATTGTTTTCTATGTTTTTGTTTCAGGCTCATTGTGTGGGAAGGCTTTTAATCTTCACAATGGTATGTGTGTCTCTATACAACTTGCTGCTTATTTGCACATTTGGTTTCCAGTGGCTTGTCTATCCCTTGGGCCAGTGCCATTAATGTTTTCCTCTCTTCAAGTGGAAAAATCCTAATACTTTATAGTTCCTGCCCTGAGATGTCCACGGTAACTGTACTTTCTTGGAATGTCAGAGGGTTAAACTTGGCTACCAAGAGATTGCTGGTTTTCCAGTTTCTCAAGCGATATAGCCCTCATATTTTCTTCAAGAAACTCATTTGTTGGCTTCTAAGATTGAGTGTCTAAAAGAGGCCCTGGGTATGCGTGCATTACCATACCACATATTCTAATTATGCTCATGGGGACCACTTCAGGTTCTAGACCTGAACACTGACCTGGGAAGGTAGATATGTTATCCTTCATGCTCGTATATATAATTTAGCAGTGGCATTAGTGGGTCTTTACCTGCCTCTACTCAAACCCTCTAAGCAATAATGCAACAACTTGTACAGTATGATACAATGTTTTGACTGCAGGAGATTTTAACATGGTCCCTTGCCCGGACAGGCTACACACCACTACCCATCCTACCCTAAATTCAGCTCACTGGGTCACATTTCCTCCAACTGATGTTTGGCATCACTTTCACCCAATTAGCAGGGAATACACCTGCCATTCTGCTTCCCATAAAACCCTGTCCCGTATTGACCTGGCTTTTGACTCCCCTGTGCTTCTTCGTTTGGTGCAAGAGGCATATATCCTACCCTGAAGGGGTTTCTGATCATGCCCCCATTAGTCTTAAGTTGTCACTCTTTCCCTTTCCCAGTGTTTGGCTCTGGCGCTTGTCCAGGTTTTGGCCGACGGATACAAGGTTGCTGGTAGCGCTTAGAGAATCACTTTGCAATTATTGGGTACTGAATACAAAATCCACGTATCTGTTGTTATGGGACACTTTTGAGGCCTGGGTCAGGGGCCAATACATCTTCCAAATTAGCAGTCTTCAGAAAGATGCAACCTGTTCACTTACTATGTTAGAGGATGAGGCACAGAACTTAGAGACCCCTTACATTGCATCTCCAGATCCTGAA